TGATTTTTTTTCCCTGTCTCTGTCTGGGAACACCCTCTTGTACCCCTTTCCAGTTTTTTAATTTTGGTTTCTCTTGGGAGGATCCGTTCCGACTGTTTCCTTTCCTGAAAAAATCAGCTTGATTGGTGGGTTTTTCACCTTCGAGTCCCCCCCTATTTTTGAAAATTTAAAAACTCGTCCCTCTTTTTCACCTATTTTTTGTTTTGATTTTCTCCCAAACTCCTTCCTTTCTTCCTGCTTCCTTTTTAGTGTGTGGGCCTTTCCCCTCTCTCCTGGAAAAACCCCTGGATAAAAAACTGATTTTGCCCTTTTTTTCCTTGCATTTCCTCACCCCCTGTGGCTCTGGATTCCCGCCTTTTATGTGGTCAGTTTTCCCCCCTTGATTTTTCCGGGGGTCTTGTTTGCCCTTTTTTGCCTCAAGGGATTCACCCATCACCCCCTCCATCTGCAACCAGTTTAATTTTTTTCCCTTTCACTCCTTGGTCCTCCCTTTGGGAAAATTGATGTGAAACCCTTTGCAAATTCATAAAAAATTCCCTTTCCTTTCCGTTTAAACCCGCAGCTTCATAGCTGTGTCTTTTTCCCGGTCACTGCCCCCGTAACTCGCTCCCGCCTATTTATCCAACTTCTAGGACCCTTTTCTTTGGGTACCTTTCAGTTTCGACTTTTTGGGCCCCCCAATTCCCTTTTTCCCCCTTCTTTCCCAAACCCCCCTTTCCAATTTCACAGAGAGCTCTTTCTCCCCTTTTTTTGAAAGCTCCCTAATTTTTCCCCTCCCACTTTTTGTTTTTTCCTTTTCCACTGTCCTCCCTCCACTCCTCCCTACCCCAACCATTCTCATCTGTCCTTTGGGGCCCCGGCAAATCCCCACCATTTTTTTTTTTTTTTTTTTTTTTTTTTTTTTTTTTTTATAGGAAAAGGGGGGTTTTTAAAGGGAAAAAGGGGACGAAAAGAGAGCCAGAGAGGAGAGAGCAAAAAGAGAGAGAGAGCAAGGAAAGATAAAGGAAAAGCCAGGGGGAGAGAGAGCAAGAGAGAGAGCAAGAGAGAGAGAGAGGCAAGAGAGGAAAAAAGAGAGAGAGAAAAAGGGAAGAGAGAGAGCAAGAGGAGAGAGAGAGCAAGAGAGAGAGCAAGAGAGAGAGAAGCAAGAGAGAGAGAGGAGCAAGAGAGCGAAACAAGGGGAGAGAGAGAGCAAGGAGAGAAGCATGAGAGAAAGCAAAGAGAGAGAGAGCAAAGGGGAGCCCAAAAGAGAGAGGGGGCAATAAAAGGGAGAGAAAGAGAGAGAGAGAGCAAGAGAGAGAGAGAGCAAAAAAGAGAGAGAGAGGCAAAGAGAGAGAGCAAAGGGGAGAGAGAGAGGGCAAGAGAGAGAGAAGGGGGAGAAAAGAAGAGAGCCAAAAAGAGAGAGAGAGCAAGAGAGGGGAGCCAAAAAAGAGAAAAGGGAAAAGACAAGAGATGAGAGAGAAAGAGAGAGAGCAAGAGAGAGCAAAAGAAGAGGAAAAGAGAAGAGGGGAGCAAGAGAGAGAGCAAGAGAAGGAGGAGAGAGGAAGGGAGGAGAGAGAGGGCAAGAGAGAGGGAGCAAGAGGAGAGAAAAGGAGGAGAAAAGAGGAGCAAAAAGGGAAAAGAGAGCAAGAGAGAGAGAGAAAAGAGAGAGAGAACAAGGGGAAAAAAGGGGGGGGGGGGAGCAAGAGAGAGAGAGAGAGCAAAGGAGAGCGAGAGAGAGAAGAAAAGGGGAGAGAGCAAGAGAGAGAGGGGAGCAAAAGGGGGAGAAAAGAGAGCAAAAAAGAGAGAGCAAAAAGAGAAAAAACAAGAAAAGAGAAAAGGGGAGAGCAAAAAAGAGAAAAGAGAGGAAAAGAGAAAAGAGAAAGAGACAAGAGAGAGATAAAAAAAGGGTGTGGGGTGTTCGTGCGTGCGTGGGGTGTTGTGGTGTGTGTGTGTGTGTGTGTGTGGTGGCGTGGGGTGGGGTGTCGGCGTGCGTGTGTGGGGTGGTTGTGTGTGTGTGTTTGTGTGTGGGTGTGTGCGGCGTGCGTGCGTGCGTGCGTGCGGCGTGTGTGTGCCGTGCGTTTTGCGTTTTGTGCGTTTTGTGTGTACTCACCAGGTTTTAGGGGTTTCGGGTGTCGATCCGACTCCCGGGGCCCCCCCTTTCACTGATCGCTATTAGGGCACTCTTTCCCCGAGCCGTTTACTTTTTTCATACCCCTGTTAAAGCTATGTATGGAAACCTGCCCCCACTAATCGCTTTTCCCAAAAATATTCCACCCAATGACTACTCTGGGCTGAAGAAAAACTTTCCCAAATCCCCCTGATTACTGTGTCTTCAGCTTCCCAAATGTGGGCCCTTGTTAATGTGTCCAATCTCTGGAAATCCGTCTTTTCCCACCTTGTCAAATTTCCCCTCAGTATTTTGTATGTCGTTTCAAAGTCCCCCTATTCTCCGTCCCCAGTGTCGGGCAGGTTGATTTCCCCTTAAACCCCTCCCCCGTAGGGCATACCTTTTTAGCTCTGGGACTTGTCTTGTTGCCAAAACCCTTTCACTTTTTAGTTTTCTTCACGTGCTTGGGGTAGGTTTGGGTCCAAAAATGGTGCCCCATACTCCAAATTGGGCCAACGTACACGGTGTTACAGGGGCCCGAATGATTCCTTATTTTGGGTGTCGGAAAGTTTTTTTCTGAAAGGGTTTTCTAGGCGCCCATTAAAGCTGCCCGCAGTTTTTTGGTTGATGTGCGCTTTTAGGAATGTGCCTGGTGTTATACTCACCCCAAGAAAATTTTTTCCCTTTAGTGAGGTTTGAGGGCTCTGGCCCCCCAGACTGTACCCCTCGCGGCCTTTCCCTTTTCCCTTCCCCCCAAACTTCATGACTTTGGGCTTGGGGGGATTAACTCCAGGAAACCAAATTTCTGGACCAGGTTTTGGCCCGCCTGTCCCGTCCCTTTTGTTTGTTTTGCCTGGTCTTTCGATCGAGTGAATTTTTTCCCCATCAAAATTCACGTTTATCTGGAAACAGGGACACCCCAGAGTCTATTTTTTCCTCATTTTCCTTCACAAATACCAGAAACAGCATGGGCCCAGAACTGACCCTTGCGGGGCCCCCCCTGGTCACAAGGTTTCCCACTCTGACACCTCCCCCATGTTAACCCCTTTACTCGCTGGGTGTCTTTCCCCCGACAAAATATTCCCCGATCCTTTTAGTGCCTTCCTGTTACCCCCACTTGGTCCTCCAGTTTTTTCACCAAAACTCTTGTGTGGAAAATGTGTCAAACGGGTTTTTGCGTCCAAAGAAAATGCAATCCACCCACCCCTCTCCTTTTCTTTTTTAAATGCTGGGCACCATGTCATAAAAACCCCCAGTAGGTTTTTTTGACACAGGAAATTTTCCCTCCCTGAAAACCCTGTTGGCTGCTGTTGATGAGAAACGTTTCCTTTCTAGGTTTTTCCACCACTCTTCTCCTGATAATCTTCTCCATGATTTTGCATACTATACATGTCAGTGACACTGGTCTGTAGTTTAATGCTTCATGTCTGTCTCCTTTTTTAAAGATTGGGACTACATTTGCTGTCTTCCATGCCTCAGGCAATCTCCCTGTTTCGATAGATGTATTGAATATTGTTGTTAGGGGTACACATAGCACCTCTGCTTCCCTCTCTCATACCCATGGGGAGATGTTATCTGGCCCCATTGCCTTTGAGGTATCTAGCTCACTCAGAAGCCTCTTCACTTCTTCCTCGGTTGTGTGCACTGTGTCCAGCACTTGGTGGTGTGCCCCACCTCTCCGTCTTTCTGGAGTCCCCTTCTGTCTCCCTGTGAACACTTCTTTGAATCTCTTGTTGAGTTCTTCACATACTTCACGTCATTCTTGTTGTCTCTCCTCCTTCCTTCCTTAGCCTGATTACCTGGTCCTTGACTGTTGTTTCCTCCTGATGTGGCTGTACAACAGTTTCGGGTCAGATTTGCTTTCGCTGCTATGTCATTTTCATACTGTCTTTGGCCTCCCTTCTTATATGTGCATATTCGTTTCTGGCTCTACGACTGTTCTCCTTATTCTCCTGGGTCCTTTGCCTTCTATATTTCTTCCATTCCCTAGCACACTTGGTTTTTGCCTCCCTGCACCTTTGGGTAAACCATGGGCTCATCCTGGCTTTTTCATTATTCCTGTTACCCTTGGGTACAAACCTCTCCTCAGCCTCCTTGCATTTTGTTGCTACATATTCCATCATCTCATTAACTGGCTTCCCTGCCAGTTCTCTCTCTCTGTGTGTGTGTGTGTGTGTGTGTGTGTGTGTGTGTGTGTGTGTGTGTGTGTGTGTGTGTGTGTGTGTGTGTGTGTGTGTGTGTGTGTGCGTGCGTGTGTGCGTGCGCTCGCCCATTTCTGTTCCCAGGGGTCGAGCCACGGCTCCTGGCCACCACCTCCCTTGTCTCCTTGACGTAGTCTATTCCACCTCCACGGAGCCTACCGTGCCTACTTCTGAAGCCGTGTATGGAAGCTACCTCCAACTCTACTTCTCTCGGGAACAATAAACAGCAAGAACATAAACATAAAATACTTTCTACGTCGTGGTCATATCTCTGCCGGAATCCACGAAGGAGAGATCGTAAAAAAGCAGTAAGAAGCGGGAAGAGAGCAAATAAACATAAGAAAGAAGGAACACTGCAGCAGGCCTACTGGCCCATGCGAGGCAGGTCCAAGTCTCCTACCGTGTGTGACTTGAGAAAGCCCACTGTGTGGGTGAAACGTCGTCAATAAAGGATCACATTATACTGCATTTGTGTTTATATTTCCTTCTCCTACCGGCTTAAGCCAATGCCCCAGGAACCAGGAATGACGAGAAACAGTAATAGTTCAACCTGTTATATCTGTTAACGGCCTCAAAACAGTAAAACAGAATGACTGACTTCACAAACAGATTTAAGCCAACACGCGCAACAAGCAACGACAATGATAACAACACAAACCGAGAAAATTAAAAAGAATGCCGTTAATGGCAACAGTAGCAGTGTGTATACTTACAGGGAAGCAAGAGACGCTGAACGCTCGTCCCAACAGCCTGGTGGAACAAAGAACAAATACACATTAGTTTATAACATAGAGTTAATTCATATGACGACTGCTTCTCCCCACGTTCATGTTCCGTCTCCTCCTTAACACCCTTCTCCCCCACCATTTTCCCTTCTCTCCCCTCTTATACACCCTTCTCCCCCACCTTCCCCTCTCTCACTCCAGGTAACCCTCGGTCCTCTCTGTCAATGTTATGTTAAGTATGTCAGGAAGGGACATGACAGCCACTACGTAGACACCAAGCTGCTGGGACACGCTGCTGGGACACGCGGCTAGACAACACCTCTACACCTGGCACAGCAATTGTGTGTTCTCCAATCGCACCCAAAACGTTTCTAACCCCAATCCACATTTCTCCTTTCTACTCACACGGGAGGGGCTGGGTCTGATTGGTGCCTGGAGTACACAAACCAATTCTTCCGTAGCTCTGGGACCTATCTTGTATGGGCCAGTAGGCCTCCTGCAGTGTTCCTCTATTTTCATGTTCTGTAATAACTGGTGACAGCAAGTGCTCACTTGCTGGGATACCTCAGGCAGAGTGGATAAAGGTCAAACACAAGCACCAACAGCCTGGATGACCCCGCTAGCTACTAACTCTTGAAACAGTGTTAGGTAAACATAAGAACATAAGAAAGAACACTGCAGCAGGCCTACTGGCCCATGCGAGGCAGGTCCAAGTCTCCTACCGGCTTAAGTCAATGCCCCAACCTAGTCAGGGCAGGTCACATTCACTTAAGGAAGGAACATGGCAACTGACCTAGTAGCACAAGCTAATCAGGTCCAACTCACACCCACCCACACCCACTCATGTATTTATCTAACCTATTTTTAAAACTACACAACGTTTTAGCCTCAATAACTGTACTTGGAAGTTTGTTCCACTCATCCACAACTCTATTACCAAACCAATGCTTTCCTATATCCTTCCTGAATCTGAATTTTTCAAACTTAAAACCATTGCTACGAGTCCTGTCTTGGCTAGATATTTTCAGCACACTATTTACATCACCATAAGTGTCCGGGGCCCAAGACTGTTCAACAGCCTCCCATCAAGCATTAGGGGAATTGCCAATAAACCCCTGGCTGCCTTCAAGAGAGAGCTGGACAGATACCTAAAGTTAGTGCCGGATCAGCCGGGCTGTGGCTCGTACGTTGGACTGCGTGCGGCCAGCAGTAACAGCCTAGTTGATCAGGCCCTGATCCATCGGGAGGCCTGGTCATGGACCGGGCCGCGGGGGCGTTGATCCCCGGAATAACCTCCAGGTAACCAGGTATCCCCTTTATTTATGCCTGTCTTCCATTTATACACCTCAATCATATCCCCCCTAATTCTACGTCTTTCTAGAGAGTGAAGATTCAGGGCCCTTAGTCTATCCTCATAGGGAAGGTTTCTGATACATGGGATCAACTTTGTCATCCTCCTTTGTACATTTTCCAGAGCATTTATATCCATTCTGTAATACGGTGACCAAAACTGTGCAGCATAATCTAAATGAGGCCTAACCAAGGATGTATAGAGTTGAAGAACAACCTGAGGACTTCTATTATTTATGCTTCTTGATGTGAAGCCAAGAATTCTGTTAGCTTTATTGCGAACACTTATGCACTGTTGTCTTGGTTTCAGATTACTGCTAACCAGAACTCCTAAATCTTTTTCGTAATCCGTAATATTAAGATCTACATTATTTAGTTTATATGTGGCATGGTTATTGTCCTGTCCAACATTTAGAACTTTGCATTTGTCTATATTAAACTGCATCTGCCACTTCTCCGACCACTGCATCAGTCTATCTCAAATCTTCCTGGAGTGCTCTAATGTCCTCGTCAGAATGAATTCGACGGCCTATCACAACACTAACACACAACTTGCATAATGATTACAAAAATACATGTGAGCAGCAATAAACGCCAGGTAAATCAACAAGCAGCAACAGGGACAAACACATAACAACGGGAACAACAGTAACATGGTTTCAACTCCCGTAAAACAACACACCATAAGAAAAGATAATTTGACAGTAAGTTGTATCTTGAATTGCTGTTATTGTTGTCTTCTCTCTCTCTCTCTCTCTCTCTCTCTCTCTCTCTCTCTCTCTCTCTCTCTCTCTCTTCTCTCTCCTCTCTCTCTCTCTCTCTCTCTCTCTCTCTCTCTCTCTCTCTCTCTCCAAGCAGACACAAACCCACCACCAGCACTTCTGCAACTCTCAACCATTACAAATTCTGGGAACGGGAATGACAATAGATGCCTGGGTGATGGCGAACTAAGGGTGGTGGCAAATGGAAATGGGTGAAGGGGGGTGGTCGGGGGATTAAGCCGGAAGATGGGCAGTGTTTCTAGAACGACCCCTGGAATGGCAGCCAAGATGGGAATGGGAGTAGTCGCCTGGATGGACAGACCAGTTAAAATGGTTATGGTAATGGCAGTAATGATGGGAATGCTGGTAGGAATGGTTTGGGAATTGTTGTAGGGACCAGGAAGCGAGTGGGAATGACTTTGGAAACAGTACGGCAGTAAGAATGAGAACGACTGATTCTTGGGAGAAGAATGGGAGAGGAATGAGTATAGGAAGTGAAATGCAGGACGAAATAGAATGATACAATGGCGTGGTGGGGGGGGGGGGGTAGAGATCACAGTCGGAAGAGGAATGATCGCGGCAATAATGAGAAATGAACGATAACCTTCAGAGTCAGAATGACGTAAACTTGTCATGGTCAAAGACGAAAGATTTCGAAACACAAATAACCCCTACACAGGAGAAGCTTACGAGGTTTCGGTCCGTTTACTCCAGGTTGAAACATCGTCGTCAGCTCCTCCTACGTGCGGGTTATCTGTGTATTGTTCCAGGTCAGTATTGTGCCTTTTTTTGTTCTTTCTTCAAAGATTTCAAAGACGATGACACTTGTCAACTACCAGAACAAAATATGTGTAAATCACAAATGCATTTTGTCTTCCCACTCCAGACCTGTGTAAAAAACCGTAACTCGAACAGCTGTGCCTTTTATTCTTGATGGGTACCGCAGATAAAGGTCTAATTCTCTCCAGACCTGTGTAATATTACCACACAGTTGTGGCACATCTTCCAACTGACCTGACCTGCCATGTGTACATGTCTCTCTGGTTATACTTTTAACCTCTGATGAGCTACCATAGTTCTACTCCCAGGCTCGTCCGGTGCTAATCTGGTCAACCAGGCTATTGCTGCTGGTGGCTCGCTGCCCCACATATCCATCACAGCCTGGCACCTGGTGAAGATACCCAATTTCCTCTTGAAGTCTTCTATACTTGTCCCAGCTGTGTTTCTGATATCTTCTGGTAAGATACTGAATAATCTGGGATCACGGATGTTGATATAATGTTCTCTTATTGTGTCCACTGTACCCCTGCTTTTAACCTAACCCACCCACACTGGTCTCCTAGGCACCCACACTATGGTCTCCTAACCACCCACATTATGGTCTCCTAACTACCCACACTATGGTCTCCTACCACCCACATCCAACCACCACATTATGGTCTCCTAACTACCCACACTATGGTCTCCTAACCACCCACATTATGGTCACCTAACCACCCACATTATGGTCACCTAACCACCCACACTATGGTCTCCGAACCACCCACACTATGGTCTCCTAGCCACCCACATCACGGTCTCCTAGCCACCCACACCAGTCTCATCTCCACTTCTATCCCAGGAACAATCCACTACCCCCACAACCTCAGCTAGCTCCGCCCCCCCACCATCCCTTTACAATCCCGCCTTGTAATCACCCTTATCGCCATTACCCATAAGATTAAATTCTCCGTAATCCCCCCTAAAGCCGGGTAATAGTGGCATAAGAACCATAACTATAAGGATGAACCGCTCATTTTCGGACGATAATAGCCTGGTAAAATTCACCTTTAAGGAATTTAATCATAAGGTTGAAACCTGCACTATTCTGAGAGTGCATTATCTTTTAAACAGGTATGGAAGAGAAGGGAATATGAACCCTGTTTGAAGAGGACATTGAGGTGGGTTGTGTCCCACCCTCTCTGTTTATCACGATGTAAGAACATGCTAACCCACACTCACCTAACTGCTATATTGAGCAAGGAGAGAGAGCAGTGCAAGAAACTACTCTCTCTCTCTCTCTCTCTCTCACACACACAGTCAACAAAGGAGGTCCTCACAAACGTACATTAACAAATATTGTACCACTACAACACTGGAAGCACTAGAAAGTAACAGTGTTTTCGTAACAAGTACCGGTGTTGTAACAAGTACCAGTGTTGTAACAAGTACCAGTGTTGTTGTAACAAGTACCAGTGTTGTAACAAGCACCAGTGTTGTAACAAGTACTAGTGTTGTAACAAGTACTAGTGTTGTAACAAGTACCAGTGTTGTAACAAGCACCAGTGTTGTAACAAGCACCAGTGTTGTAACAAGTACTAGTGTTGTAACAAGTACTAGTGTTGTAACAAGTACCAGTGTTGTAACAAGTACCAGTGTTGTAACAAGCACCAGTGTTGTAACAAGCACCAGTGTTGTAACAAGTACCAGTGTTGTAACAAGTACCAGTGTTGTAACAAGTACCAGTGTTGTAACAAGCACCAGTGTTGTAACAAGTACCAGTGTTGTAACAAGTACCGGTGTTGTAACAAGTACCAGTGTTGTAACAAGTACCAGTGTTGTTGTAACAAGTACCAGTGTTGTTGTAACAAGTACCAGTGTTGTAACAAGTACCAGTGTTGTAACAAGTACCAGTGTTGTAAACAAGTACCAGTGTTGTAACAAGTACCAGTGTTGTAACAAGCACCAGTGTTGTAACAAGTACCAGTGTTGTAACAGTACCAGTGTTGTAACAAGCACCAGTGTTGTAACAAGTACCAGTGTTGTAACAAGTACCAGTGTTGTAACAAGTACCAGTGTTGTAACAAGCACCAGTGTTGTAACAAGTACCAGTGTTGTAACAAGTACCAGTGTTGTAACAAGTACCAGTGTTGTA